ATGTAATTGCATTTGTGTAGTTCACAATAACTGCTCTACTGTAATGCAGCTAATTTCAGTAACAGATGTGATGTGTGCTTCAATAATATAGTAATCATATTTACCCAATACAGAGTACATATGTGTACAGTACAGATGTGGGAGGTCGACAAAGGTGGTTCATATGATTAAATTAACATTCAACTGCTGAACAGGTTTTAATATGGGCTTTACATATAAACTGATGGCTATTTGCAGTGCCACTGGCCCAGAAGTAGATCACTGGGGCTCTGAACAGCTGAACTGAGTACAAAGAAATTCAACACAACAGATGTGAATAAATTGCAAATCACCATAATCGTGTTCCAGGAGGCCCCAAGAAATGGATGATGTCATTACGGGCACAGCCGGCGCCTGGTCCCAGAACAGCCTCTCAGGTGGAATGTACTGCAGCCCTCCTATTCCCCTGTCGAAAGGTAATATAGAGTCCAATATCCACTCTCTCCTAAGAGGGGGAGGCTGCTTTCTTGTTGAATAATTGAGACCTAGATAAAAGACCAATGGTTTTGCGTTAGATAACTGCGTGGCCTCATTGGTTCTCACTCTCCTTTTTGTATTCTTTTAAAAGCTGTTTCTACACCTTTTTCTACGGTTTGCAGTTTTCGTTTCAATCTCTGTCTGACCTGTGTTCTAATGAAAACACACAAACCTGCTGTTGAGGATAATTGTCATGATATATAATTAGGTGCCGGTGTTTCCCCTGCTAATAGCTTCCCTACGGGTTGGAAAGGTGTTTGATGTTACTGAAAGGGCTGTACTGTAAAAAGTAAACCGAGGTTATGTCTAGGTTAAAGCAATGCTAAACCTCATCCGTTTCTTCTGGAGGTGCAGATAACACCTTAGAAACTTCCAATTGCTAGCCAGCAGATGTTATCATCAAGTCAACATACACATTCCCTCTGCCCACCTCTTCTGCCCGATGATATAATCGCCCAATGCTCACTTTCCTTCACAACTGTATTCCCTGCCACCAGGAAGGTCAGTGCACTGACGTCTTGTGTAGTAAAGAGATTAGATACACTGCCCTGTACCACACACGCCTGTTAAGGTCTCTTTCAAACACCCAGCTATATATAAAGCTTTTATAATAGTTTCATGTACTGTACTTCACTACAGCGAATCATGTCAAGATGTGTTCTTTGATTTTTCTTCTGTTTCCAAGAATATCCAATTGTTTTGTTAGCATACTCCAAGTTTATTCATTATACTTACAGCTCATTGTGTCAACTTTTCTATTCTTCAAATAGAATCTGTGGGAAGTAAAGAAAATAGTATATTATACTATTAATATGCAAATGTTCAAACTCAGGAGAAAATTAGACCTTGAAAATAGCATTTGCTGCTCATATCCACTAAATTAGAACTGTGTGTTGTCTTTTAATTACTTTTAGCGATGGTGGAACATGATCAGCAATTTATTTGCATTTTCTCTTCATTTCTCACTTCACTTTGTATTACTGGGAGCAACAGTTCTTATTTGGGGGATTTTAAAACATGTAGGAATATTTAGAATGTGAGTGAGTAAAATCCCATATTAGTGATAATTTAGTGGTAGCATGGCAGGAAAGCATGACAAGTGAAAACTACATTTCCACAATAATTGCCTCCAGCATGAATCTGATGGGCATTTACTCTAAAAGGTCACTGTTCTTGTTGCACTATAGGCCACCAGAGCCTATGGATTCGATGTTTTCTTTTTTACTTCCATCCATTATTTCATACCCAGTGTATCTCCTTATGCCGTAGTTGCCTCAAAAGCCACAGATAGGCCCTGTCTGGTACACTATACAGTACTATCTGGTACACTATACTCTAAAATAGCTTGAGAAAGATGTGGTGTCACATATCTTGTTTCTCTTTCGGTTTTTCTAACCTAATATTGAACTCTGGGTCATGTTCCCTGCTAGCACTTGGATTACCCCTCTCCTGTTGGATAAAGAAAATAGTAAGGAAGAAAGAGACCAGTCTTTCCTTACAGTATATTGAATTGAACAAAAACATTAAAATCAGAGAGTATAGGCAGGGTATGTCATAATAGGCTTTTCTTCGTGAAGAGGCACAGGTTTTCAGTGAGTGCATCACAAACTAGATTCTCTGTGAATCAGGGGTGGTCTGCAGAGTACTTCTAGAGTAGTATGCTGGAGAGCTGACACCAAAGATGTGCAGGCAGGTGGGAAATACATTTAAAAAAAATGTGAAAAAGGGCTAGCTTTGCTGTACGGGAGTTTTAACATGGTTTCAGAGTGGAGCAAGTATAAAACTGAACTCCATGAGATAACACATCCCACCCAGTGATGTGATGTGATGCAGCTATTGAGCAAATTCAGACTCATATTCAGATTGTTCACTGAATTTATGCCCAGATGTCCCCAGCTGGTGGGGTGCCTGCCAGCACTGTCTGCATGAACTAGCATGTCTTTAGATTAGGTGTTGTACCAATCCTTAGCCGTATTTCTTGCCCAGTTGATGTTTTTCAGAATACATGAACATCTAGGGGTACTCTGATCTTTTAGCATCTTTTCAACACTAATGTCCTAGAAGTTAGCTGATCTGACAGAAAATAACTAAGTCTGATATGTTTCATTTAAATATAAAAAGCCCTCTTTAGTTAGAAAAAAAAGAAAAATCCAACATTTATCACGCTGGATCAGGCAATAAAAGCACTTTTTTCTAATGACCCTCATGTGTTTTTCAAAGGGGATTCTGTCCACATACATATTTTAGTTAATTAATGGTTGTTTAGGGATCATTATAACAGGGGAATCTGCCTTTCCCTTCAATTTAGCCCATGTTCTGCATATTATAAATTGAATTGATAAAGTATGGTGCAATTAGACAGACGGCTTCAACATATGTTGTATTGATACTGTCCAACACATAGATCAATATAGTCTCCTAATCTAATCCTCACTGTTCATATTGATCTATTTCAAAGCCTGTTTAGCCTCACTGAATACACATTCATATTTAATATCAAGGCTTATGGATACATTTCAGGTATAGTCAACTCAAGTTCTTGATCCTTATTTTCAAAGATGCATAATAGGGCTGGGTTCCAATTATTTCAAATCTCAACTAAATGTCATTAAATGTTGTTGTCAGCTTGGTTACAGTTTATCATGGATGTATTTGCTTGGTATGTATAGTACGTTATACAAGGTTAAACCATTTAGCATAGTGTTTGTATCCACTGGAACAGGGATGGGCAAATGGCGGCCCGGGGGCTGCATGCGGCCCCCCACCTCCTCTTTTTGCGGCCCTCAGGTTAAATTATAAATAACGTAATTAATTAATTAATTTTTAAAATCAGTTATTTATAGTACTGATACCGTCCACTAGACTAGTTACGTCGCGAGCTGCGTACATGATTTCGTTCGGCAGCCAAATACCGCGAAATAATCTGTGACGCGTTTGTGTGTATTGTGTTTGTTTCCCGGGGAAACACTCACAACAAACACCGGCTGCTGTTATGCCTGCTGTGACGTTAGGTTACCGCTTGTAATTATGCCTTTACAAGCTTAAAAGTTGTATTTATTATCTGAATTTGGCGAAACAAGTTTAATATTCTAAAAACCAAGACTTTGTTTATTTGAAATCAGATGAAAACAAACTGTCACGGACCCTGCCGTGTTATCTATGATTACTATACGCTTTTCATTCATAATTTCAGCGGGAGGGAGGGGGAGCGGCGCTGAGGAACAGCAGAGTGCGGGTTGACAGGCGTCTGTGTTGACACTGCCCTTATTTAGACCCGCCAGAAAAACGCGAGCAAAAATCCTTGATTATGCGATTAAACATGCGGGGTATTTATGTGATTTTATGCGGTGAAATTGCGGGAAGTTGTGAAATATGCGGAAAATTGCGAAAAAGAATAGATTTTTTTAAAAATATTGGGCTGTCTTATTTATTCTCTCTCACACACAACCTGCCACTAACGTTAAACCCCTTTCCTATTCAATTAAACACATTCAATGTTTATTTATTGTAAAAGCAATGGGGCTATTTTAATCACACTCTCTCTCTCTCTCACACACACTGCTGGCGTTAGCCGTCGCCGACCTGGGTACTGGAGTCTTGTAGAAAAGTTCTGTTCAAGTCCGGTTNATCTGCGCGCGAGGATCATTTTATGCTCGTGTAAAAGCACATTTTCCGCTTGGAGTCAGATTTGGGTCAATATTCTAGCGCGCAAAACAAGCTACTCACGAGCGGAAAATGTGCTTTTACACGAGCATAAAATGATCCTCGCGCGCAGATTAAACCCCCGCGAGCAGAGACAGCCCTCTTGCTCGCTCGCGGGAGTGTCAGCCTCACTCGCTCGCGGAGTCTGTCTGGCGCGTTAAAAGTTTCTGACACTTTGGGGCGTAGCCACTGGACTTTGATTGACAGCTGCCAGGAAGCCCGGAGTTGCCAGGTTTGATAAATGCCTGAACTACCAAGAGCCGAGGAGTGACAGCAGCAATGATCAGTTGGACGAGATTGAATGGTAAAGTTGTCCATACAAAACTATCATATTCGTAAAGTGTACAGCTAATGTGTGATATACGATTTCAGGATGGGGATCTAATCATCAAAGACTTAAACAAAATGAAGTCTCTCGTGATTGAAATGACACAGAGTCTTGCTTTGTTAAACAAAGAAACAGACAAAGACTGCAAACATGGAGATAACCAATCTTGTATTCATGCTAATATAAATGTGGATACTTGTATATTGCAGATAACAATATAATCAAAATAATGTAGGGTTCACCCCTCAGTGAACTAGGACACCTAAAACATTCACATATTGACAGTTGTTTGATCTTACTAGAACTAGACTAGAGATCTCAACAGACTCAGTTAGTCATGGAGTCCAACAACAGGTCCTGTGTCTCAATGTTAATAATTTGTATGCTTAGATCAATCTTGACCTCAGTCAGTTTATCTCCATTTACCAAAGTGGTGTCCTGTTTCTTTACTTACCTGTTTGCTCAGTTCTTCTCCTTTATCCTTCAAAGTCTCCATTGGCACAGTTTCAGGTGTCGTAAGCTTCCCTTTTTCTTCGTCAGCGGAAATCTGATCTTTTGTTTTATTCGTTTTAAAGCATTCTGAAAGGTTTCTTATGGTATCTGTGTGAAACAAGACCAACGTATTTAAGACATGTATTTATCTAAAATACTTAGATTGTGATCAATTTAACTTTAATAAACACAACTGAAACATATCACTTAACCATAAACCATTTGAGTATAATTTGACAAATTAAAAGTAATGAAATGAACAAGTCACTTACTGAATATGTTTTGTCTCCGCTTCCACAAAAAGAAGAAAGAAACCGCCAACATTAACAGAATGCAAACAGCCAAACTGACAGCCAGTCCAATATTGACGGAAGAAGAACTGGACTGGAGCTTAAAGAAATCATCTGAAATGATAAAACACAGAACATCACAGCATTTATGTAAACAAGGACATCAGCCATTGGAGACTAAAGCAGTGGTTGTTTAAAACAATTTATATTTAGTCTACCTGAAATGCTGAAGTGTGTCTGTGTGATGTGGTTGGTGTTGTGGTGCTGGACTCTGCAGGTGAAGCTGTTGCTGGGTCTCTTCTCCACAGTCACTCTGCTGCTGACAGTATAGAGGTCATCAGGACCTCTGACTGTCTCTGGAGGTCCAGCAGAGAGGAGCTTTCCCTCAGCGTCCAGCCACAACACCTCAGGCTCCGGATACCAGCCTGCAGACTCACACTGCAGCACCACTCCTCCACTCTGACCGTCCAGCCCTGATAAACTGATGACAGGCGGAGAGGAAGGACCGGATGCTGGACAGAAGGAAGACAAGGAAGTAAAATCGCAGATTCCAAATCGGATGTATGTTCCTTTCTCCCAAAATCCTCACTTAAAACTGATCCAATTAGCTCCCAAGTTTATTGGCTTATTGCTCTGCGGGAGTAAAATATATTCTATGCTATATATACTATAGCATAGATCAGGCAGTGCGTTAAGCTGGAAGATCCTTAAATACGAACAAAGTAGCGTACAGTATTTTAATGTCTGAATTTCTCTGAAGACTGAGACAAAACTAAAACTCTCTCCTCAAGATAAAGACTTATCTAAACATGCACCATGAACACATACATTACGCACTTACCAAAAACCAGTTGAACAAAAGCTTGCCTGCCAAGCGCTGGAATGAAACATCTGTATTTCCCCTGATCAGAGAGTTGTACGTTGGAGAGTTTCATGGAAATGTTTCCGTTCTTCATCTCATCGGTGAACATTGATGTTCTTCCCTTGAAAAAATTGTGTTTTTTATCCACAAGTTCATTTCCAAGCCGCATCACACGGACGAATCTGGGGTCCATGTCGGGCCTCGTCCACTCCAACGTCAAACCAGCAGCATTTACCGCCGGCTCCAGATAACACGGCAAAATGATGTCATCACCAAGGTTTGCTACGATTGGCTGAGATGAGCCAATCAGCTGAGACTGACCTGGAAATTCAAAAGAAGTATATTATATAATGTAACCCTTTGGCTAAGACTTTGGCTAATCGTAGTTTTTTTTAAATGTTAAGAGGGCTGTTAAAGGCCGTTCTCCATATTCCCATTGGCAACAACTGCTTACAAAAGCAACTCAAAAAAGAGCTCAAGAAAAAAAGGTTTCAAACAAATGTTTCTAATGGTTTAGCTCCTGCGCACAGCTTAGTCTTGCGTTGTAAGCTAACGTTAGCCTCACGGCTAAATTACAGCAAAAAGGTTAAGCAAGATTTTTCTATATCTCTGAAAAGCTTGTCGATATTGTAGCGAGCCTCAATTCCCATAATGTCAAAATGCTTTATAGTACCTGTTTGCAAAGAAAAACAATCACAACATTGATGGACTGTTTTCTCTAATTGTTACAGATATTTAGCGTTTTCCAGTAACAACATCTATTGGGGTACCACTTGCTTAAAAGTCTTTACTGAAGTTTTGCCTAATTAAGCAAAATATAAACGTCTTCCCAATGCTGTAAGTGTAACTTTTTTTGAAGATTGTATTGTGTGTTACTTACCTCTACAGTAGTTTGTTAGTAGAAGAAGGAAACCCAAAACACTGAGAGTTCTGAGATGATTTTTAAGGGGCTTTCCGTCTGTGTTTAAAATCATCATGGAGAACTGCAAATGAACAGAAAACAGTGAAAGCAGAGTGAACTTCCAGGACAACATGCTTTAAAACAATTCTTTAGGTAAAACGTTTTAAAAAGGCTGGACAAAAAGTGGTCAATCCAAAGGTCTGAGTTATAAACTGAATTTTACCTTTGGACATTACTTGTACTCAAGGCTCCAATAAATGGAAACAAAAACGTTATGACCATCTTCTTTGCTCTACTTATACTTTACATACCCTATTTCATTATATCATATCCTCTATTTAAGACATATAATGATAATTTAGTTACACTAGCCATGTTACAAATGCAATATCCACGTTAGCTTCATCTAACTAAAGACTCTCAAAACACAAGCACACAAAACCCAGTTCAGTGTTATGACTATCACCAAGTCTGTACGCAGTTTTCACTCGGACACAAACACATGAAATACATGTTGTTATCTGTTCTAATCTAAAATTGTGGTTCACCAAAACTCAATATTCAGACTTTTGATGAAAAATGTTTTGAATCTATTTTATCTTATGTATTAAATGTTAACAAATTGAAGAACACATACCTGTTGAATGTTGCGTGTCACCGTCTCTGACTGCGAGGACAAAGCCTGTAAATCATTGACAGCCTCATGCAGAGTATGAAGCAAATAGAGTAACGCCTAATTCATTTTTCTTCACCAAACTTCTTGATGGTTAATGTTATGTTTACTATTTGTTTTCAGTGTGCAAATGTTTCTGCAGCAGCAAGAGGCATTTTCTACAAAAGCTGTGTAGAATATTCAAGTTTAGTTTGAATCTATCTACTCAATTGTTATCTGAGTTTCACTTTGAGTGTCTCGGTTTATGAACATCTGAACTTTGGATTCAGTGTCTCGGTTTCTACTGTTGTGTGTGTGTGTGTGTGTGTGTGTGTGTGTGTGTGTGTGTGTGTGTGTGTGTGTGTGTGTTAGTTATGAAATCTGTCTTCTATTTCAGTGGTTCTCAAATGGGGGTACGCGGACCCCTGAGGGTACGTTGGAGTACTGCAGGGGGTACGTGAGATTTATTTTATG